TCCCCCAGGTGCTAGCCCAGGGACAGGCATGGAGCATGAGGCCAGGAGACAGCTGTCTCCTGGCAGGGGCTGAGAGATTGCTCCCCGCCTCCTGGGGGGCTGCCTGCTGCTGGGACAGGCTCCACCCCAGCTCCTGGCTCCGGTTCCCCAGTCAGTGGCAGGAGACTTGGAAATAGCTGTAGGGGAGCAGCAGGTCCCAGCCCCCTGCCCCAATCTGCTGATGAAACAGCTAGCAGCAAGCAGGATTCACCAGTAAGGAATTGAACAGATCCCCCCTGGCTTTTACCAACTATGAAGGACAAGAGTAGGATCCCCTATCCAGCTGGAAGCTCGCTTCTAGCTGCCCCACTGATGGAAGTTGGGGCAGGGGACTGGGACCTGCCCCCCCCCCAAGCTCTTTCCAAGCCCCATGTGTCAATTGCCCAATCAGGACATGGGGCTGGGACCTGACCCTGACTGGAACAGCTCCCACTGCATGGTCATGGGGCAGGGGTTGAGAAGCTTCTTCCCAGACCCCACTCTTCAATCACAGGGCAGGGTCTGGTAGCCTGTAACCTGCCCAGCTCTGTGATCTCAAAGCTGGGCAAGAAATAGGCTCTCCAGCCTGTTCCCCACCCAGCTCCGTAATCGTGACTGAGAAGCAGGGACTGGGAGCTCCCTGCTACCAGGACAGAGGTATATTGTCTGCACGTGTAAATGCAGACACTTACCACACAGTACTTAGCTCTACTGTGCAGTAAAATATCTTATTTAGACACAACCACTATGATTTTCAGTTTGTTTTTTAAAACATATGTATATATGGAAATAATGTTATTTAGGCTGCAGTCAAATTTGTGAAAGGAAATACCAGAGGGAATACTATTTGAAAATACTGCTGCCTATATAACTTGAGTTCTGTCCCCTTGGGTGTATTATGGTACGGTCTCTAATTACATAATGGCATGCTCCTTCTGGGATTTAAACCCAGAAGTTCCTAACTAAAGGGTCTTATCCCTCCAATCAGGGTCAGACCAATTGCCATATTTGGCGTCAGGAAGGAATTTTACCCCATGGTCAGACTGGTATAGACTGTGGGGGTTGCCTCCCCCTGTAGCATATACATAGGCATTTCCTAACACTTGAATGCCTGATTCTGTGACCTTAACATTCCATTATCCATTTTTGCTAAGTAATATTTTACATTCATTTCTGATTGTTGCTTTACAATTTTAAACAACTTCTAATTCTACAAAACATACAAAGGACCAACCTACATAATGATACTACTGCTGCTGTCACCTGCTATTCTCAGCTCTGTTTATCTTTTATGCCTGTTTGTTGTGCCTGGCTTAATTTAGGCCCCTATTCTGCAAACACATATCAAGGTCCTTACCTGTATTCACTGTGAATAGAGCTACTGCCTTCATGGAATTACTAACAGTATGTAAAATTAAGTATATGCATAAGTCTTTGCAGATCAAGACCAAAGGTTATAAATTCTTCATGGTAGATTCTGTTTTTTTACTTTGTATTCAAAATGTTTCAAACACAAAGCACTCTCTGACCACTACGAGACAATAAGTAGTTATATGTAGGAGTCTACTTAATTTGCAATTTTGCGGTTTTCATGGAAACTGCTAAAAAACTATACTGTCTGCGAGCGCCAGGAAATATTACATTGGCCACAATTTCCCATGAAATCAACCTAAAAAACCCCCATCATATTCTTCCTATAATATGTTGTTTTAGAATGTCCCAATGCTTACCACAATACCAAGACAACAAGACAACCATTGCAGCCATAGATCACATAATTGAGAGTTACTGTCTGTTAGTGACAGACTAAGTGAAGGCGCCAGTCAGTGAAGTGAAAATGTTTAGTATCATTAGTATTTCTAAACTTTTTGTAGCAGACTACATATAATAAATTACGATATTACAATGTATATTGTATATACATTTATATTAATAATATATTTAAATTTAGATTTAAATGTTATAGATTTACAATAAGAAATTATATAATATAATTTACTTTCCATAGAAAGTATACAGTATTAAATTATACAGTATATGCCTCTCTGCCAATCAGTGGTGAGGGGTGGGGTCATCAGGAAATGCCTGCAAAAATTGGTTCTTTGTGCTGCAACCAAGCCACAAAAATTGCTTTGTCTCGCTGCAAGTTTAGACCCCTAGTTATATGGTCCCATGATTAATTTCATCCTAGACCTTTACAAAAGACCTGATGTCTTGAACAAGATAAAAGCACAAAGAATAAAATGGACAAGGCATGTCACAAGAACAGACAAGAGAAGGCATGCAAGGCAGATTTTGGAACCTGAGGTAGAGGGTATCAGACCTCAAGGTAGACCATGGCAAGGATGAGAAGATAAGATAAAAACTGGGTCGGGAAGGGATAAGCAAAGATGTGACAAGTTGGAAGGAGATTGTGCAAGACAGGAAGACATAGAAAACTGTAGTTCAGGCAATTATAAGTCTTGGAGGCCTGTGAGATGAGATAGATCTACCAATCTGATACATCTTTTAAAAACAAATTAATTATTTCTGTTAGTGGCAGCTATAAATTAGAACTCATAAAGAGCTGATCAAATCTTGAAGACCTTGCTTTAAAATCAAATCAGACAGAGCCTCTCAATTTTCTTGATTCCAATTGCAGAGGCAATAAAAATCTTTGACTGGCATAATCTAATAGAGACCAAACTCTGCATGTACTTACTACTATGTTCAATTCTCTCTCTCTCTTTTTTTTTTTTTTTTTTTAGGGGCGGGGGGAATTATATTAAGTTGATATCAGGTAACTACAAAGTGAGTTCTGTTCCATTCTACTGTCTGTATATTTGAGATTTCCATACATATTTATGTACAGAAAATATTAATAAATGTATTTAATAGAGGAAAAAGACAACATCCAAGAAAGTAGTCTAGAACTAGTTTTACTTAACTGTGCTCTAGTTTTCAAGCATCCAATTCTATATCATGCCATCCCTCCACTCTGCCTTCCAGCTCTCTTTTCATCAGAAGACACTTCTGCGTTCTGAAGTGATAAGAGAGTAGGATTCCTGCATATTGCATTAGCTGCTTAACCATAAGAAAGATAAGAAAAAGAGCAAGGAACCAAGTGCTTCTAAAAGAAACCTGATGTTTAGATTTGCTGTTTGCAAGTGTTTTAGGATTTTCACAATTTTATTTTCTCCATTTTGAATTATATTTAAAGTAAGCTAAATTTTGTATTCATTAGCTCACTGTCCCATTAATGGTATATTTTATAAAACTTTTAATAACCTACCTTTTAACGGGATACCATTCAAATGCTATCAGTCAGGATCTTCCTTCATTATATCACATATTTTACATAACAAAATAATTGAAGAAAATGCTGTTAACCCGATCACATAATGCAACAAAAAGCACTGGAAACAACAGTTGTGTAGTCTGCTAATCACAGATATGAAAGATGATCTTTCTAATATGGAAATATCACAAAGCAGAATGCAAGCCAGAATAGTTCAGTTGCCAAGTGTCACATGCTTTGGAACCCACATGCTCTCCTAAGTAAAACATGCTGTGCATGAATAACTTAAATAGATTTTTAAAAATTAAAAACATTTAAAAAAGCAAAAGCACTAGGCCAGAGAGAAACGCATCAAGGACCTGTGGCTACTACCACAACAGGACCTTCAAAGTGATTCTACAGTACATCAACCTCTGGCTCACGCACATAAAACTTCTGGAGATAAGAAGTGAGAAGTTAAAGTAAACTTAACAGTTTATACAAGTCTGTGCTATGGGGATGCAGAACTATATTCAGTGAGACTGTTCACAACTTTTACTCACATTAGCTCAGCATCAGTTTCTTTATTGAAGTTTGATTCCTTGCAAAAATAATAATACTCCCAATTCATCTCACTTGAAGCCAATAGCTTTAGTGATCCATTTGGGATCTTCATTTTTACAAGACTGAAACTCTACATTCGTCACTGCAAAACTGAACTCAGTACGTGAACTTTACCTACCACTTTTCATGAGGACTATATGTTTACTTCCTAATTCCTAGCGTTTGAGTGAGATCACTACTCTGCACACCACACAAGTGCTGCGTGTCTCCCCCTCTCTGTATATTTTCTTTTTTGCCCTGTGCCTTCAAAGCCATTCTGCCTTAAAGGTTGTTTTTATTTTTGCCAGTTCAACATTTCTTCAAAGTTTACTATGAGACTTACTACAGCTTCGAGCCTGCCAAAAAGTTTTGTCTGTGGGATTCTGTAAATTCATCTGGCAATCTGTCTGGCTGACCATCTGGAGAACATTTCAGAGCAAAAAGCATGGAGCAAAACCCTGAAGAAAGGACAACCCCAACCCCCAGGGACCTTGATACGTGTCACCAATGACTCCTCTGCACGCCACCACCCTTCTCCAACTTTCGGTATTGCTCAACCACAAGCACTCTGGCACCCGCCGCTCAAAAACATGATGAAACAAACATTTTTGTATTTGCACGGGGGAATCAACGAAAGCTTTTGCCTGCCGCTGGCACGGGCCAATACCTGTCTGGTTCTGACTCCGGCATCAAAGGCTCTCCTCAAAAGACAGAAGAAGCAGGCACAGAGACCTGCAACCCCCCGGAGGAAAGTAAACAACCTACTTCCAACTAAGCATCATTCAAAGGGAGAAACAGAAGAGCTGCCTGGTTTGCTAAGCATCTGTTCTGTCTTTGGGGCTGGGGGAGGAACATCTGGATTGAAGACAGCCAGCCCGGCCCCAGCGAGCGGCGGCAGGAAGGCCAGCCGGGATCGCGCGGCACCCACTGCTCGCGCAGGAACCGGAGGATGGGAGTTGGGAGCGGGCCGGGGCCGGGCCGGGGCTCCATCCCCAGCAAGTTCCGAGCGAGGCATCCCGCAGCTTTTGGACACGAGCGCCACAATCACATGATCCTTCTCCCTCTAAGGGACGCCAACACAGCCCGAGTTTTTTCTCCCCCCGCCGCAGCTGCCTCCTCTTACCTGCAGTCTCTCCGTTGCCGGCTGCCACATATTTCAGCCGCGGGGGTTGCGCGAGGAGGAGGAGGAGGAGGACCCTGTTGCTGGGAGCCGCGGCGGATTCCCCCCAGCCCCGCTCACATCTGCTTGGCGTGTCCGGGAGGCAGGCGAGGAAGGGGCAGTGCCCGGCCAGACGCGGGCACCGCTCCAGATGCCGGCGCCCGCGACCGCGGAGCCCCGTCAGTCAGTCAGTCAGTCCGGCCGGCCGCGCCGCCTCCTGCACCAGCGAGCGGGACGCCGAGCTCCGCCTGCGGCCCCAAGTGCAGCAGCGGCAACAGCCGCGGCGCCCCGGCCTGTGGTCCCTCCCACGTCCCGCCCCCGCAAGCCGGCGCATCCCTGATGGGTCCCCCTCACCCTGCGGCCTCCTCCCCGCCTGCAGCCCGGGCCGCGCTCCCGGCTCGGCGCAGCTGCGTGACACGCTGGACATGCCTGGAGTGGCCGTCAGGCCCGTGCACCGGGGAGCCGAAATGCAGGGGACAGGCAGGGGCAGGCAGCGTAACAAAAGCTGAGCCCGGCCTCCCACCTGCTCTACGCTGCTGTCATGTCGTGCAAGGCACGGCAGGATCCGCCTGAAGCCGGGGCACGCGCCGCACGCGGCTGACTTGCCTTTGCCATGACATGAACCGTGCGGATCCTCCCAGAGGATGCCACAAGCGCCGGCTCTCCTCCAGAAGCAGAGGCATATTTACCAGGCTGACCTTCTGCCTTCACCTGTGTGTGGTATTTAAATAGGCTGCACATTTCCATACACCTGATAACACTCGCATCTGTGAGGGAGCTCTGACGCTTTTGGGCTGGGACAAGAGTTTGGGCTTTTAAAATAATAATAATAAAGCAGAATGACTTAAATTCCAGCTTCCATTTACCATTCTCTTCTTTTGCACATTTTATAAAGCAGGGAGTTGTTTATTCAGGAAGAAAGACATGAGGGTCCAGAAAAGCTCTTATCATTTGCTTTTCTGTGGCTTGGGAAGGACAACATGTTTCATCTGGGAACAAACTCGTTCTTAAAATTAAAGAAATTAGAGAATATATCACTTGTATCCCTCTACCATCCACCTTATTTAATAGTTAAGAAAGAACGCCAGGCTTCAGACAAGTGTAAGTAGGTTCATCGTGTCCAGCCATGCCATACGCTCAGTCCTAAAACTTCTCATCCATGACGTGGTCTGTAATGGTAGGTGAGTGTAACAGAGACATCTAGTGGCGTTGCCTGTTTTCTCTTTGGCACAGGTCTTCTTTGGGACTGGCATAAAACGTCGTACTTTGGGTGTAGGCAGATGTAAACTATGTGCATTCTGAGGTTTGTGGCTTTAGGTTTCCTAGGGGAAGCATTTCTTATAGCAGTTGGCAAGGTTTTTCTTCACTGGACTGTTTAAAACACTGCCACATTACTATGTAACTGCACCTGCTCTATTAGTGATCACATCATGTACAATGTCAGGTCCACCTTGGCAATTACAGGTGTCGTGTGCTTTGAGGGGCCAGATACCAGCCAGCATGTGTTCAGGGGTTCAGGACAGTAGATTTATTCTTCAAGTATATCCTATTTCTACTGTGACTGAGAGCACAAGACTCTGAGACTTTTTTGAGAGTATCCAATGCATACAGCTTCCATAACAATGAAACTTCAGCACGTGGTCACCAACTTCATTAAGAGATGACTTGTGCAAAGTGATAATGGCGCATCTAAAGCATCAAAATATATCCCAAAGACTGGAAGAGACTTTAGAAAATGAGCCCCTGCTGGTGAAAATGGGACATAAAAGATCCTGTGGCACTTCTTATAACAGAAGTCACTTGCCCATCCACGGATCCTTTTCAAAATTTCCCCTTTCCCAGCTGTGCAACATGCTATGATGATAGGTTCTTGTCCTTTATTCTAGGGTCACTGCATTGAGAGGGGCTATTTTCATATTATTGGCCATGGATTTAGGGTCTTTCAGGATGGTACATGGCTTCAGTCCATTTCAGGATGTCCTCCAGACTTTTCAAAATCAGAACATTATGCAGAGCTTCTTGATCTTTCTGTACAAACATACCTATACCACATGAGGCAGAATACAGGCTGTCACCATTTCAGTTTCCTTCCATCACATTCCTTCTCCGACAGCATGAAACAGGCATAAGGAAGATTAAAGTAATTCATTTCCCCCACTATCCAGCATACAGCTAACATAGACTTCTTAAAGTTAATAATATAACCTTCCTGGAAGATGCAATGCCTGACCAAAATATTTCCATTTAACAGTCCTCTACCATGAAAATCATGGGAGTGGCAAATTAAGGATCATCAGCCCTACTCATATTCTACTCCCATGTCTCCTCAAGTATGTGTTAATATGTATGAAGTGGCATATTAGATTCAGATATCTCAGTTTTTTTACAACTGATGTTGATGGATATATAGGAAATGAGTTCTGTGGCAGGCATGTGAAATGGCTATGATAACTATTGAATCCTAAATGCCCATGGGTATGAGATTCCTGAATATTCTATGTGAAAGTGAAAAGCATCTAAGTGATGCAAGTTTTCACGCCAGAGATTTAAAAAAAGCATTAGACCAAAGGGAAACTTCCGAAGAAGTGGTGGTTTTTAATGGCTTCAGTTTTCTGCATCAGGTTGGGATCAACCAGAATGTTTTGAGCTTGTGAGGGAGTACCCCAGAAACCAAGGTGCCTAAGTGCTTTGTTGCATGACAGGGAGGGTTCTGCACCTGGCAAGACAGAGCCCTAAAGAAATGCATTGTTTTTCAGCTTTCCTAAAACAAAAATCAACATGTCCCTTAATCATGAGTGTATGAATTAAGGCAATTAAAGGGTTTGCAGCTTTCTTTTTTGAGGTGTTGAAATCTCAATGAGAAGGCAGACTGAACACATCCTGAATCATAGTGCAACTTACACAAGTGCCTTCTTACTTCTATGCGGATGAAAACTAATAAGGGCACCCAGCATCCTTTCAAATATCAGATCAGAACATCTGTCAGAGCTCTTCTCTGTAGATTTTCAAGTGAGGAGAACATCCCTGCTTGCCTTTTGACCCCTTTCTTTCTTACAACTAATATTTACATACTTTGCAGGACTATGCAACAGAGGCTTTTTCTGAAAGGTTTGCTCTCTCTCAAAAGAAGCCTTGAAAACAACTTCATTGTTCCCTAATGTAACAGTAAATTTACCAGACATTATGGACTGAAATCAGATGGGGTTACATATAATCCAGTCAGCTGTCAACTGCTGTTCCACAAAGGAAGTTTAGGTTCTACTGAAATTTACAGAGACAGACCGAGCATATGGCTGGAGGCTCTTCTTTGCTGACTAATTTACACAACTTTTATACAAGCTAAGACAACTGAAAAAAACCTGTATATACAGAAACTTGAGTTCAGTTTGGTTGAGGTGAACAAACAAAAGCAATCTCCATCATTTGTATTATAAACACAATGCACCTCCCCCCCCCCCCCCCCCCCGCTTTTTTTTGTTCGGACTAGTTGTATGTAAAAGTGATAGGAAGACAAGAAGATATCAGTGCTATTACACACACACAGAGAGAACCAACCAAACTGTGAATCTCTGAACCAAATTAATCTGGTAATTTGTAACAGTTTAGAGGGGGAGGGGAAAGCCATAGAACAAGGCTTTCCTTTACTTTATACCACCATAAAACTGGTTGATTTAAGGAGGGAAGCAGGCTGGGAAATGAACCTAGGTATTCTGGAAGAGTACCCAAAGATATGATTCAAAACAATGTCAAGAAAAAAAATGTTATGCTTTAGTTCCTGTTCAGTACTTATTTCTCCCACTCTTCTCAGTGGTAATCTATGAGTCTTTTCTTATGTATAATGACAATATTGTGCATACAGCCATTACTACTTCAGGCAAATAACACAACAACTATTATTATTATTATTAATGAGATAGGTTTCTATGCTGCCTTACCCAGAAAGAGGCTCAGACCAGCTTGCAATAAAATCCCAATAAACTGTAGGTGCAAATAAAATATTAAAATAAAATAACATGTAAAGGAACTAACTCCCCAGACTTAGCCCCACCTGCTCACAGCCTGCCCATGTAGTGCTTCTGAAAGATGTCAACTCAGGAACTGATAAACCACAAGGGGTGAGTCAACTCTCAGCTGACCTTAGTGATCATAACAGAATGTAAAAGAGAAGGCAGTTCCTTAGGTATGTGGGACCCAGATCATTTAGAGCCTTGTAGGTTAAAACCAACAATTTGAAATGCACCTGGCAAGCTATTAGGAGCCAGTACAGACTCTAGAGTACTGGAGTAAACTCCTCCAAACCCCTGTCAAAAGGTAGGCCACCCAATTCTGTACTAGCTACAACTTCTGGACCATCAAGGGCCTTCCTATGCAGAATACATTGCAGTAGTCTAGACTCAAGGTAACAAAAACATCCAAATCTAAAAGAAAGGTTTGCAGTCTTTTCACCAGACTCTGAATCACTACCTCAGCCTGAACGTGCAGGTACAACAGAGGATTCAAGAGCACCTCAAAAGCTGTGAAACTGAGTAAGAAGAGGCAGGTGTCCCTAATCCCCAATATAAATCATGAGATCTATTCACCACTGTCACCTCTGTCTTCTAGATTCAGCTTCAATTGGTTCACCTGCATCCGCTCCCCAACTGCACCCAGGTAAAGACTGCAGGGCCTGGGTCTAATGAAAAAAAAGACAGAGCTTATTGTCATCCGCATACTGATGGCACCTCGCTCCAAATCCCTGCACAATCACACTTGGGGCCTCAGATACAACACTGAAGATGAGGGCCACAAGATGAAACCCTGAAGAAACCTACAAGTAAGGTCCCATAGGCATAAAAAAAGCACTCACTCATCAACACCTTCTGGGTCCTCCCTGCTAGGAAACTGCAGAACTAATAAAGAGCAGTCCTGTGAATTCCCACCAGGTCATGTACACACAACAACATTATACTTGCAGCTAGTGAAAGAGGACCTTTGGTAGGTTGAGATATGCAGAATCCCACAAAACTAGAACTCAGGAAATTTTCAGTTAAACTCAGGTGACTTAATATCATACCCTTAACAGGAAGTAATGGCCCCTTAGACTTCTCCCCCACCCCCTCCAGGGTTAATCCTACCACATTTTACTGGGCATCTGAGTTGTTTTACTATTAGGAATTTTTCACCGTCAGCGAAGGAGGAATCTTTGCTGTCTAAATAAATAGTGTGAATTCACATTTCCAGGAGGTACAGTGTTCCAGACACTTACTTCTA